TTTCAAAAGCGGACTTCCTTTGATTTTGATCTTCTTGCCTATGGGTTGTTGATCTGGCAGGTATTCTTGATCGGGTTCTCTCTTCATGTGTTCTTGGGATCGTTGACCGGAGCAAGTCCGGAGCTGTTCGTACTTCTCCCGTGATGTGAAGTTGCCTGAGTTCTTCTAATGCTTCTCGAATCTTATCGTAAGGCGTACTCATCGTCGTCTTCCTTCGCCTCTTGTTGTGATTTTCTTTTGTCGTATTCACCAATTTCGACTCGTATCTAGTCCGAGCTTTCTACGCTTATCGAGTAGCAGGTCTTTGGCGCCCTTGTTTCAACTTGTTTTTCCTTTCTCGAGCCCTGTCTCGACTTTCGGTTTCTCCATCGTAGCCACGAGCAAAGGGTGATATGTTGGATTCTCGATTCATCCGATGACCTAACATCGGGTGCTTCGGGGGGTTTAATGGCGACCGAGGCGTCGAACCATCGATGATTTCCCGTCGTGAGCTGTTCCGTTATTGTCGTTAGTTGTCATATCGTCGGAGTTGTTGATGACTTGATTAAGCGCCTCGACGTCAGAGATTGAGTCTCCCTCTTGGTAAGGTAGAATAGCCGTTGTCGTTGTGCCGACTAGTTGGGTTTCGCTATCCTCGAGAGATCTGGCGATGGATGATCTGATCTTGCGATGTTATCGTTAGAACGAGGCCCTCCCGAGCCCCTCGCAATTGGTATCCCAAGTGTTGATTTGAAAGACCTTTCAAAGCTGTCCCCGATAGGATTTTTGCCGTGTTGTCCGCCCAAATGGAAAAGAACTCGGCCTTTTGAAAAAAACTCGAGGGTAATCCGAGTTGTTTTGGTTTGTATTCGAATCTTGCCAAACAAGAATTCGACTTCTTGAAAGCACTCGAATAAGACTTCATCTCGGACACGGAGCTTGAATTGAGTCGGATGGAATCTTATTCGAATCGGGTATTGTGAAGTTGCGCGAATCTTCTTCGATGAGTTGATCCGTCGTAGTTGTCGAAATAGAGGATTCTTCATGATGATCCGGATCTTTGAGGAGATGACTTTGAAGCTTGTCCGAAGTTGTTCCGCCTCGCAGATCCACGAGCCAAGATGAAAATCGATCCCGTCGGGAAGATCATGTTATTGAGGTCCATCGAGCTCTTGGATGCAAAGTCGTGAAGGCCCCTACCGGGCGCGCCATTGTCGATGTTTTACCATCGATAGCACGCCTTGCGGGTACCGTGGCGATATAGTTCGGTCTCGGTATGTTGAACTCGATGGTGAACGCAAGAGGCGATCGATTTATCTGGTTCAGCCCTCGATCGTAGATCGAGTAACGACCCTACGTCCAGTCGGCGTTTGCCTTTTGCGTTGGATTGATTATGAAGTGTTATGTCGTACCTCCTGTCCCTCAGGAGCCCTGCCCTCCTTTATATAGTCAGGAGGCCAGAGTCCTAATCGGTTTACAATGAGATTTCCTAGTAGGATTACTTAATAGTTCTATTACTAAGATTACATGGGAAGAATCCTAGTTGAACTAGATCTTCTCTCTCTTGCGGGGTATCCTGTGGGTCCCGCATCGACAGCAACCAAATCTTGAACACTAATGGGCTTCATCAATTGTTTGAGAAGTACTCATTATTCATGGAGGTGAAGCCTCCTAGACAGCTGGGTGGCAGTGGCACTCAACGAGCTCCCATGTTCATGGCGAGCCCCAAGAAGCTTTGTGAAGGCCCCGATCTTGCCTCCACAAAGTAAGAGATCAAGGCAGTGAAGCTAGGAAAGCAGTTGAAAGAGATCTCCTTCTTGGAAGGAGCTGAGCTTCGAGAAACAACCCCTTGGTCTTCACTTTGGTTTGATTGTGTTTTGAGCTTTTACTTTGATTTTTTTCATTTCAATAGATCTACTTGGTTGAGTATGTTTGTAAGTCCAAGTACTTTGTGGATTTCCTAATTTGAATATAAAGAAACTTACTCTCCCAGCTTGGTTTGAGCTAGAACTCATCAAGTATAATGTACATTTGAGTTAGTTGCGTTCTTGTTGAATATCCTCAAAGGTGCAATAATACACTCAAATATTTGTGAGAAATGAAACTTTGTTGAATATCAATAAAAGTGCAGACAATTCGCTCAAATTTCCATAAAAGGTGGATAATCTGTGAATTTACAGGTTATCTGTTTCTAACTAATCTGTTGCTAGTTTGTACTTGAATTTTTAAGGAACGTCTATTCATCCCCTCTAGTGGCATCTCGATCCTTTGACCAGCACGCTATACCGTGTTCCCATGCCCAATTGCTTCTTCTAGTTCATAGCAGCCCTTCCACACCACATGACCATATATAAATAACGAGGCATGCCTAGAGGAGGAGGCGGTATAGAGGGATGTCCAAATGTATATAATCATTTCCAACTACTAGTCACATGTTTTTTCCAATTCACTAGGAAGGTAAGAGGAATTAATTCTACTGCATAATCGGTATTTGGAGTAAGAGAATTTTTGAACCTATCTGTCATTCAAATAATGTCAGCCAAATAGAGTATGGCCATCTCGCATGGATGACAAAGTGTATCCACATGTTGTTCATCACAACTTTCTAAAAGGTTATAGTGTCTTGTTACTAGATCCAAATGGTCTGTCACAAGTTGTAGCTCCTCTAGTTACAATGTCATAGACAATTGTTTGTTTGCGAATAAGCTCATAAAAATCAAGACAAATCCTTACCATTTATGTTTTTTTGGTTGGAGTTCTAGTCAACATACATGACAAAATGAATCTGTTGTAACTTGTAAGTTACCTGAAAAAGCTCATTGTTTTTCCTTTTTTTTTTGAAAAAAGACAGGAGCGCAACCGCTCAATTAAGAAGAAGTTCATACAAAGCCGTGGCGCACCCGCACAATGGTCTAGTCGCTAGTATTTAGCGACAAACACACACACTAAGCCTATCATGCGTCATCGTTGCCTAGCTTTGGCCCAAAAGCGTCAAAGGAGCTTCATTTCGACCTTTATCCAAAGCCACCAAGACACCGCGTTGTTTTCGTAACTATATAGAAAAGTGCTATCATCATTGTTTTCTTTCTTTTTTAATAGGAATTCGTATTCCATTACTCAACCATGTCGGCTAAATCGCCTTACACCAGAAACAAGATATAATTTGGCACACCGGCCAACACTGAGGGCAGTCATTGCTTCTACTCCCTATAGAAGCTAGTTCATGGGCTACCCTATTGCATTCACGTAGAGCAATTGAGAAGGAACAAAGCAGAATTTTCTACCACAAGATCCTTTAGCTCATGGACTAAGCCACCCACCACTGCGAGTCTGAAATCATCACCCTGAACCACCCACACTACCTGCTGTGCATCTGTCTCCAGGATGATGTTATTGACGCCAAGAGATATCGCTGCCTTCACCCCTTCAATACATGCAGTAAGCTCCATATGCATCGGATTGATCGCAAACGGTATCCTTCCAGACCGTGATTGAATCACTCCTCCGCTTTCATCGCAGATGACATAGCCCTAGCCACCATTTTTTATCAAAGTCCTCTAGAAGCCCTGTCCACATTCAATTTAAGTGAGCCGTATGGAGACATCTCCCGTCTTCTTTTTCCGCTCCGTACTTCTATGTGTTTTTTCTTGGTTAAGCAACTATGGAGAAGTGCAATAAAAAAGACAATATTAATATGTTTCTATATGAAATGCTACGAGTCTGTCTATGCCGCGCTTGAGTGTCTAAACACTCGATTTTTTTCTTCATTGTCTTTTCCTCCTCGACACGCCACCGCCGCTCAGTGCCCATCGCGCTCGCCATGACGTGGTAGGGTCTTGTCGGGGCAGCCGTGGAGCTCCGACGAGAACCTACCGCACCCGCGGTAGCCTCCTCCTTCCCCTCCTCCCTCCCGCGCGTAGCCCCGACTTGGCCTGGCCGCCTCTTCCGTTGCTGGAACCCTAAGCCGCTCACCCCACCTCCTGGCGAGCCTGCCTCCCCGAGCCCCTTCTAAGCCTGCTGGAGTTGGAGAGAAGAGGGGAAAGATGCCGGGATGGAGAAGAATGAGAGGACGAGGAATCGGACGCTGAGAGGGAGAGAAACACTCGAGCGCTATACAGATTTACTGAATGCTATAACTTGTTAACCAACACAACATGTTTCGCTTAGATTTTTCTTGTTAATTATGTTCTATAAAGCAAAAGGTGTCTTTTTAATAAGAAATACTGGCATATATTAAATTCAGGAAAAAAAACATCGCTGGAAAATTTCACTAGAAAATAGAACACGAGACAAGATCATAACTTAAATTTATTAAAGAATAGTTTATAGACAACACTGAGGCTCCGCAGCGTCGTCGTCATCTTATTAATTACAAAGAACATAGGCAATAGGCTCAAAGGGGTGTTCGGCTGGAGGAATTCTAGATGAATTTGGATGGTTTGAAAGAATTCTAGAGAAATTTGGGAGAAAAAAATAGTGTTCCAGATGAAAAAAGAAGCGGATAAGTCGGGTTTCAGACAATCTGTTTTGACGCCTGGGCTAGACACCCGCACCCGCAACCGCAAGCCTGCAAGCACCGAGGCACCGAGCAGCATCCGCCCATCCCCCCATCGGACCGAGCCGGCTCATTCGACCTGAACCAAACTGCCCCGCAGTGCGTTCGCCCCCTTCCTTTTTCTCTTCCCTTTCACCACGCGTTCGCTCGCGCTCTCTCTCCCGTGGCGACGACTGGGCGGCCGCGCAGCCGCCCTAGCCAGGTGCGGCTCTTCGTCGGGTCCTTCTCCGGCGACGGGCGCCCACCAGGTATGCCCACCCTTTCTCTGCCCGGCCTGCTGCGCGAAATCGAGCACCCAAACCCTAAGTCAAGCTATCTGCCTATTTGTACCCAGATCTGATCTAATTACAAGTGTACACATGTATGATGCCTACTGATTTCGATTTCGTCTTGTGAAACTTATCGGGTGTACATCTGTACACCCATGTCCTTAACCGGGTCGGCCCTGTGTATCCTCCATGGCAGGATGAAGACGAGGATAGTATACTCCAGGGATTTTCTGCTGTCGTTTGGCGAGTTGGAGCATTGCAAGAAGCTGCCCCCTGGCTTTGATACAGCGCTTCTTAGGTCACCTTGCCTTGCTTTCTGTTGGTTAGGCCTTTTGCCCAGTGTGGCCGGTGGGATTTCTGTTTGACGATCTTTGCTGTTGCTTCTCCAACAGTGAGCTGCAGGAGCTGTCAGCGGGCGTGCTTGAGAGAAACAAGGGCTACTACAATACATCCCAGGGACGGCCAGACGGGTCGGGGGGAGGATATACTTACTCTTCTCGTGGTGGGAACACTGGAGGGAGGTGGGACACTCGCTCATCTGGATCAAGCGATCGGGATGGGGAGTTACCCGATCGCGAGTCTCAGACACAGGGTAAAATTACTCTTCTGTTCGCGTAACTTTTTTGCATTGGAAATTACGTTCTTAAAGCTGGCAGTCTACGATTTATCAGTTTAATTGGTTCTCTGTGACCATTTTTGCCTATGATATGGTATTCATTGTATTGTGGACTTGACTTTCAGAAGCTTTCTAGTCTACACAAGTACATGAGTGCATTGACTTCACCAATAGTAAACCGAGGGAGTTGGAGAACAATCATCTGCATGGTCATATTGTTAATAAATCATGCACATTTACTCCCTGCTGTCCATCCTGTTTATGGACAGATTAGGAAAGTGGACTGCTTATTTTACGTTACTAATGGTGCCATGCAGCAGGGCGTGGTGGAAACCAGTACAGACGCAATTGGCAGAACACGGAGCATGATGGCCTACTGGGAAGTGGCGGTTTCCCTAGGCCATCAGGATATGCTGGGCAGTTGTCATCCAAGGATCATGGCAATGCGCCTCAGCTAAACAGGACATCGGAACGCTACCAGCCACCACGTCCTTACAAGGTTGGTGCCTGCATGCATGTACCCTGCCTTCCTTTCATCATCTTAGTGATTGACAATCTTTGAAATTTTCATAAGTACTTCTCACATTAATGACAGGCTGCTCCTTTTTCGCGGAAAGACATTGACTCAATGAATGATGAGACATTTGGGTCTTCTGAATTATCAAATGAGGATAGAGCAGAAGAAGAAAGGAAGCGGAGGGGTCAGATTTTCTCACTGCAACATAAAACATCCTTTTCTTTCCCCACTGCAATCATCTATGCTTTCTCACATTGCCCTATATGCAGCATCTTTTGAGTTGATGAGAAAAGAGCAACACAAAGCAATGCAAGGAAAGAAGAGTGGTCCTGATATCCTGAAGGAGAATCCCAGTGATGATATCATTTCACAGTTACAGACATCAACTGCAAAGGCAAATGCCAAAACTAAAAATGAGAAGTTAGATGGTTCTGCAGTATCCTTGTATCAGGAAGATACCACTAAACCATCTTCAGTTCTACTAGCTCCTGCTGCCAGGCCGCTTGTCCCGCCGGGTTTTGCAACTGCATTTGCGGACAAGAAGCTTCAGCCACAGTCGTCTAACATCACACATGAGCCGAAGGTGTGTATCTACATGTCGTTTCAATAGCTAATAGAATGCCAGCAATTACACACAAAATCTCCTACCTTGCAGTCGTTGATACCTTTTTTCAGAAATTGTTGTGTTCATTGAAGATAGAACCTTCAGTTCTTCTCTCTGATAGAATCATTTCCTTAGCAAAAGAGGGATAGCCCCACCAATGTTGTAGTGTTACTTAATATGTTTCTACTTTGTAGTGTCATAATGCTACTACTGAGGCTAACATGTTGACTGTTGCACAGCTTGGTGGTCAGCTAGAGGGTGACCAGTCAGCAACAGAGTTCACATCTGAAAGTAAAGAGAAGGGAATTTCCAATAACGTTGCTATTATGGGTCCAAAGCACACGCTTCCAGCTGGTGGTGTTACCTCTTCAGCTGAATTGCCTTCTAGCATTCTGAAAGGGAGCGAGGATTGGGAAGCTGATGTAATGGATAAGTATTCTATTGGAAAAGAAGGCAAATCTAAAAATATTGATCCAGTTAGGAAGGATGATTCAGTATCAATCTTAGACCAGTTCTTTGGCAATGTTTTATCGAAAAGCGGCAGTAACCTACCTACTTATGTTGAGGTACAACAAGAAATCCTTTTTTGGTCCTGCTTGCTCTTATTTTCCTAACTGTGCAGAAGCCATCTATATTTATGGTTCCATGTTATGTAAGCTACTCCCTTCATTCCAAATTATAAGACGTTTTGACATGTCTAGATACATTCCTTTTATTACGTATCTGGACATAGGGTATATCTAATTGCATAGCAAAACCTATGTATCTAGAAAAGCCAAAACGTCTTATAATTTGGAATAGAGGGAGTATATAATATGAACATTGTCCAACCAGATCTATTGACTACTAATGTGATGTGAACTTATACCTTCACAATTTTATCTGATTTTGTTGCACAGTTCATTTAACTAAAATACAGTTAGGCCTGGGATTTTATTTGTTTTACTTCTCTAATTCAATGATTCTCGTTTATAAGAAAGGATGAGAGTTGAAAGTTGATAATTTTATTTAAAGCATCCATCTTTGTTGTCCTGTGTGTTGATGTGATAGCTTTCTACATAGATTTACTAGTTCAGATGGCCTTGTATGCTCATTATAATCTGTTAGACTTTAATAGCATGTGCTGGGTTACAATTTAGAAACGACTATTTTTGTTCCATGTTATGTGCAGTGTGATCTGAATAGAAGAAAACCCCAATTTTGTACATTGAAATATCTGAAAAGAAGGAATCTCCAATTTAGTTCGGAATTGAATTTGAATTAGAGTTACATGGGTCATATGCTTATTATTTCTTTTACATATTATGCAGAACCAGCCATTGAAAACTGATGATGACATGATTGCTGCTTCTGTGCCAGAATCATCCAAATTTGCTCGCTGGTTTCTTGATGAAGGTAATACCGTTTCATAAATTTTACTATCTGATCCCATTATGCCCAACACCTGGTTATCGACTAGTGTTGGCGTTTCTGTTTCGTTTGGTCATCATGCCACAAGAACTTACAACAACAACAACAACATAGCCTTTCAGTCCCAAGCAGGTTGGGGTAGGCTAGAGTTGAAACCCACCAAGAGCCCCAAGTCACGGATCAGGCACTTCAATAGTTGCTTTCCAAGTACTCCTATTCAAACATAGATCTCTAGGTATATCCCAAGCTTTCAAATCTCTTTTATTGCCTCCCCCCATGTCAATTTCGGTCTTCCTCTACCTCTCCTCATATTATTAGCTTGGCTTAGGACTCCACAATGCACTGGTGCCTCTGGAGGTCTCCTTTGGACATGATCAAACCACCTCAACCGATGTTGGACAAGCTTTTCTTCAATTGGTGCTACCTCTAGGCGATCACGTATATCATCGTTCCGAACTCGGTCCATTCTTGTGTGACCGCAAATCCATCTCAACATACGCATTTACAAACAAAAATAAAATTTGAGGACATGTCCCTCGTTGCTTCACAGCTTCCATTTGGTTGTCTGTTCTCTTACTGATTTCATACCTTCTATTTCCTGCAGAGTTGAAACCTGCAGAAGACTTATCTTCAAAGAGCCTGCTCTCCATGATTGTCAAAAATGAAAATCCAGGTCCAGAAAATATAGTCCATGCTCCTTTATCTGATGCTGCTGTCCAGAATTTATCGCCAAGAGCACCTATTGATAAACTTGATTCTGGATCAAAGCTTACCTCATTTACATCCCCTACGCCTGCCGATGGAATTCTTGAACAATACATCCATCCTGATTTTCCAGAGGCAGTTCCTGTTATGATGACATGTGAGGATCTTGAGCAGACAATGTTAGCACAGGTTAGCAATAGCAGCTCACCTCAGATAAATGCTACAAAGGAGCAACCGACTGTTATGGATGAGCCAGTTGCCATGCAGAAAGTAGCTGTAGATAATCATGCATCACAGCATCTTCTTTCATTGTTGCAAAAAGGAACAGATAATAAGGGAGCACCTTTGCTGGGTTTCCAGAGAGGATCAACTGATGAACCTCAGAGTGTTGGCGCAAATTTAATGGCCAATGGTGGAATATCTGGAAGTGATCCTGTTAACGGTGTTGACAACGTTCCTACTTCTGGGAAGAACTTGACATTAGAAGCGTTATTCGGGGCTGCATTTATGAATGAGCTCCACTCGAAAGATGCACCAGTTTCTATTCGAGGATCCACAACTGGTGGTCCTACTGAGTTTGCAGAGACGGGTAAAACTCTATTGTCATCTAGCCATGAAGGATACTACCCTGTTGAACAGACCCTACACTTCAACAATACTAAAGATGCTGCTTTCCCTCGAGAACCAGGTATCGAGCATTCAGCAGTACCTGGTCTAAATCAGGGGAGTGCTAGTTTTGACAAGAAAGGAATGGAAATTCATCTGCCTGAAGAAGATAATTTGTTTACCATGAGTGACTCTCTGCCTGGTCAAAATTCTGATATTTTGGCATCAGTAGGATCCAGCAGGCTTGAAGGGCTATTGCCTGAAAAGGCACTTGATGACCTCAGTTATAGGTTTCAACGTCTTGTGCCTGGAGATGCAGAACACATTCAAGTACTTGGTCCTCATGCACTTGGATCTCATCCTCGTGACCATCGTTATCAGGTTGATTCTCAGAATCTGTATCATCTTCTACAGGGTAGGCCTCCTATGATGGCACCTCGCCCTATGATGGATCACATTGTTAATAGGAAACAGCCAGCTTCATTTGATATGCAACAGTCGATACACCATGATTCTCACCGTTCTTTCCCATCTAATGTGAATCCTATGCAACATAATCTTCATGGGCCAGGGGTCCCTCACTTGGACCCGAATGCACATATTATGCTACAACACTTGTCCATGCCTGGAAGATTTCCACCAGAAGGCTTGCCAAGAGGTGTCCCGCCATCTCAGCCTGTGCATCACATGGCTGGTTATAGACCTGAGATGGGCAATGTAAATAATTTCCATATGCACCCTCGCCAGCCCAACTATGGAGAGTTTGGATTGATGATGCCAGGTGAGTCTCAATTGTCCTAATTTATGTTTTATTTACTAGCAGATATTACTTGTCATTACTCCCTCCATACTAAAAAATAAAGTCGTTTTGGACAGCGACACGGTCTCCAAAGTATTACTTTGACTCCTTGTTTTTATAAAAATATTTATCAAAAAGTGATATATGTATATTTTTATGAAAGTATTTTTCAAGAAAAATCTGTTTATATGGCTTTCACATTTCCAAACTCAACAACTTAAAAGTTATTCATGATTTATATTCCTAATGTTTGACGCCTTGTCCAAAACGACTTTATTTTTTAGTACGGAGGGAGTATTTGCAAGTTCAGACATGCCATATATCTGATATCCCTGATCACAGTGCAGAAAACTTTACTAGTTCACATTGACTCGCAATTCTCCTAATTGAAGTTAGACAGCACAGTTTAGTTTCCATGATACCATTCTGCTTATTTTAGACATTAAGATTTTCATTTGGAGTTGGTTGACATCTCCATAATACCATCATCTTAACTTACTGTCAATGAGACTAAGATTTTTGTTTGAACTTATCCTTGTTGTGTTTGATACATTCAACTTTTTATCGTGGTGTTTTCTCTTAATTTCTGCAATTTTAGACATGCTATTTACTAATCTGTTAGGTTTATTTTTTGTTACCATCACTGTTTAGGCCCATCAGGCCCAGAGGTGAGAGGCAATCATCCAGAGGCATTGGAAAGGTTGATCCAGATGGAGATGTCAGCCAGATCGAAGCAACAGCAGGTGCACCACCCAGCAATGGCTGCAGGCCGCGTACCTAGTGGGATGTATGGGCATGAGCTTGATGCGAAGTTAAGATACAGATGATGGATGCACGGATGCTTCGTTCCATACAGAGGACCCGGAGGTGTGGTTTGTTGTATGTGCGTGGTCACTCTTTGCCCAGACAGATGTGTATTGTTTCTGTTAACATGGTTTAGCATCAGCCATCTCTCGCAGCTGATTGGAGGGTCTGTCTCACTTGTAGGGTTGTAGCATGTATGTACATGTGAACGGGTGATGGAATGGAGTGGGTCTATGATCTGTAGGAGCGGCAAGTCTACCGGGAAAAGGGGATAGGATGGTGTGCTGAGTGAAAGGCATGGTATCGCCGTCTTAGCAGCCACCTGTGTAATGATAATGATGTTTTCTGTGTACTGTGTCTGACGACTACCCAATTTCCATTTTGTATAAACGCTGTTCTGCAAAAGGAAAGAAAAAACTGAACCAGATTAACATATTTGCGACAGTGCCCAGTTGGTCCTGCAACTTGAACTTGTTTGAAAGTAAATGACCACGCGTCCGACCGAGATGTCCATGGGGCAGATAGCACTGCTTGAAACGTTTTAATGAAACTAAAGGTTGCCTGCAGGAATTTTGCTCATCCTAGATAAATTGATTTGTTTCACGCTCGAGATACCGTATGCAGCACAGACACCGGGCATTGGCCCTGGTTACTTACTCGACACTACCCAATAGCTCACACTCTCGCAAAGCCCCAATCCTGTAGTGACGTTAACTTTGTGCAGGCACGGATCAGTAACTCTGAAGTGAATATTTTAAATAATGGTAGTGCTAGCGTCCGGACGTTCGGGCCTGCGCTTGCACTCCGCCCCCGCAGCATCTGCACCCCCGCCTGACCCCATGTGGCGTCTGCGCCTCGCTCAACCCCTCGCGTCCCCTCTAGCAATTGCATTGGAACATGCGCAACACCCGATCTATTTTTTTAAACATCGAGATGCAACACTTGCAATATACGTTTAAAGACAGATAAAACACTTGAAACATGCTTCTGAAACACTTGAAAAAAAAACACCTAAAAACGCTTGAAAAACATTGCAAACATACACAACATCCAGATAAAACACTTACAACATATGTGTGAAAAATATGCAACATCCAAATAAACACACTTGCAACATACGTCTTAAAACACAGATGAAACATTGAGAACAAACGCTTGCAACATACATGTACAACCATTGCAATATATGCAACATCCCCAATTTACTTTTGCAACATCCGTATGAAACACTTGCAACATATCTCTGAAACATCGAAAACACTTGAAACATACACTTGCAACATGTACTTTCAGCGCAACATCTCCTTGATGTTTGGGAGAACGGAGGCTCGACAGCGTGCCGGAGGTAGCGGCCTGGCGGCGCTTGTAGGCGGCGGCGCCGGCGGCGGTGGCTCCTGAACACGGCCGGGAGGCAGCGGCCGCACTATTGGGAGAGGGCAGTCGTGCGTCGCGCCGTCCTACAACAATGCTTGGTGGTCATCCCCGAGAACCAGCAGGTCGCCGAGGCCCACGGCATCGAACGCCCAAAGGAGGAAGTGATGGATGTACCCCAGCAGCAGTAGGAGGTGGAGCAGCTGCTTCGGAAGCACCAACTCCGAGTAGCCCACTGGGAAACCGACGTCGGCAGCGACTAGGGCAACACTTGTCCGGATTTGTTGACTTCCCTTGGCGTGTTCGTGCCTCTTGGCTTGTGACGGTGTTGGGCATTGCCCCTGGAGCAGATAGGAACGAGTGGACGAGAGGATTGAAGCGACTGGACGAGAGAATTTTTTTTTAGAAACTCATGAGCGGATGGGAGGGGATAGTTGGGCTGGCGTCACGACCCACCAAGGAGCGTCCGGGCGGACGGACGCCCGCACCGCAGCATTACCGTTTAGATAATGAGTTTTCCCCTAAATAAACACTTCATATCTGATATTTTAGATGCAAGATGTTTCTGTTTTCTGGTTTAGTCTATAAACATGGTTTAGTACAGTAGAATACTACATCATGTCTGTTCTTTATCAATCCCACCATTAAGCATGTGCCTAGGGTGTATATTTGTTACACTTAGGCCCCATTTGAAATGCGGGAAACTTTCATGTTCGTAGTGAAAATAAACTTATTTCTATGATATTCCTGTATGGTTCATGTGAATTTCCTGCGTTCTGATGGGTCAAAGAATACCAAATCAGTGGAATTTGAAGCTGTTTTTTTTCCCCTGAAGCAGCTGCTTCCACGTGCTTTAACTTTCATAGCACCTTGATACTGCTTTTGACTTTTGGCTTATAGATAAAAAAAAGATAAGCAGAGTATAAGAAACATAAAGAGACAAAGAAAATAAAAAAGGTCGCAAGAGGGCTTGTAGCTGGGAAATACTTCTTTGCTCTATGCATAAGCGTCGCAAGTTGTCCTTAAAGAGCAACTTGAAGGCTCCTATCGAGGGATCAATAGCATTGAAGATGAAACTGTTTCTTGCCGTTCAAATCAACAAACTCACTAAAATGATAATTTCCATGAAGAAGGGAACCCTAGCTGACTCTTGAAGCTGACTAGAATCTCAAATGGGTTAGCTGGACTAGGCAGTAGGCACCTGAATGTTTAAGAATAATCCCCAGCAAGCTTGGAGCAGGAATAAGTGTTTCAGAGATTCTTCTCTGCCATCTGAACATAAAACACAAGCATAAGATGAGAGATCCATGCTCCTTCTTAACTATTCTCTTGTGCTTAGTCTATCTTTCAACAATAACCAAAAAGAACACTTTGTGTTTATGACTTCCAGAGCCATTTGAAAGCAGTTGGAACTTACATGTGACCAATTAAATGTTAGTAAGCTCAAGCCGAAGAGTAGATATTAGAACTACAAATATAGGTCCCGAAGACATTACCAAATTATAGATTGTTTTGACTTTTATAGTTACGTAGCTTTTAATATGCATCTAAATATATGATATGTTTAGATACATAATAAAAGTTATGTATCTAGAAAAGTCAATACAACTTATAAATTGGATCAGATAGAGTACTTTTTTATGGCTAGAGGGAGTAAAACATTGGCCAGGTCTAATGTATATTTTTTTCCGACCATGCTTAGCATGTACTCACTCTGTCCCGCTTTGACTGACGTTCTAGCTTTTAACCGGCGCAGCAAAGAATCTATGAATGCGTCACGTAGGTGTGTCCAGGTGCATTCTAAGGAAATGTGAATGTAGACGATGTGCTTCACTGCCAGAACGACAGTCGAAGCGGGACGGGGAGTATATCATTAAGAAGAGGTCTAATGTATATGCAAATGTAAATATGCATACACGCAGCTAATCGATTGGTCGACCTGAATGGTTGCATATATCGTCAACGACGTAGTGCGACGTCGATCACTAGACGGTCCGGTCCATACCATTGATTGCTGTGTTGTTTACCCGTAACCGTAACCCCCCAAAAATAAATGGTTCAAGAAACGATTGGCTCCCTGTTGTAATTACGTGGATCCCTATGCTCGAACAGATCGAGGCTCATGCAATTACGCGAACAATGTCTCTTGACCAAAATATTGAGCGACGCTGTCAGACGAAGGAAATGGCAAGGCCTCGAGGGCCATGCAGTAATCTGACTGACGTCATCAAATTCTTTTCTGGTGAAAAATAAATAAAAGAGAAAAGGATCGAAGAAACGTCGCCATGCCTGAAGCCTGCATGGCTACTCGCCAACTGGAGATTGTGACAGCGCACAGCCACGCACACGCGTACGCCACTCGGCGGCCGGCCACATTTTAGAATCACCCGGGAAATTTCACCACCACCACCGTTGAGGCGTTTACATTGGCTTATTGCCTCTCCGGTTCTCCGTCACGTACTGTATATAAATATTGTATATCCTGAAATTGCTCAAAAAAAATATGTATATACTGAACTATATATATGCATCACATACCAATCGATTGTTTGGATCCAAGTGAAAGCTGTAAGCCTGTAATCCGGGAAACGTAGCGCGCGCACACACATGGAGAGGTCGATGAGGCTACGACATTTGCTCGCGGCCACGGCTCTCTTCTCTTCGCTCATGTTCCGGGGAGCGCCGGCAGTGGCAGCGGAGGCGACGGCAACCGCGACGGCAAAGGTGCCGGTCGGCGTCGTGCTGGACCTCGCGAGCCACGCCGCCGGCAGGAAGAGCCTCGCCGCCATTTCCATGGCGCTGGAGGACTTCTACGTGAATCGCCCCACGCGGGTGGACCTGCACGTCAGGGACTCACGCGGAGATCCTGCCACGGCAGCGCTTGCTGGTAAATTTAACCTTTTTATTTTCTATACCCGAAATATTAGCAGAAAACTAGGGCGTGTTTAGTTTGTGAATTTGTGATCCATAGAAAAACCCAACAAAATTTCACCTTAACTTTTAATCATAAATAAATGATGTTTTCAACAGTGAGTTACTACTGCAGGACGGCTGAAAACCATTTGTAGAAATGTATGTGAATCTCTAGATATTAGTGATTTTCATAATTTTAAAATCAGACCACAAAAAACAGCAAAAAATTGTTTTAATTCGGGAGAGCAACCCCTCAAGGTGCTTTCACTAGTACGCGTCAAAATCACTAGTGACTAAGTGACTAAAATCACTAGTGAGTAGGTGACTGATATAATACTTCTGTATCCACCTTAGTAAATATTGTAATACATATTTGAGATCCTAAATAAATTTAAATAAAAAATTGAACCAGAAAGTTTTGGGATCTCTTCGAGTACTACAATTTTGGTTTAGGTTATTTTCTCCATCGAAAATCATTTGAATAATTCAAAAAATATGAATTTCAAAATTATTAATCTTAAAACATAACATATTGTCCTAAATGACTTTAAATGAAAAAATCATCAACCACAAAGATGCACATCTCTTTGAGTGCTACAAGCTGGGTTTAGGTCGTTTCTCTATTGGAGGTACTTTAAAATTTTAAAAATCTAAAATTTTTAAATAGACTTTTTTGGTACTAAATTATTTCATGAAAGGCCGTCAATTATAGAGTTGTTGATACCTCCGAGTACTACAA